AAAACAGGTCATCCCACACCCCAAAACCCCCCCCACCCCAAAACCCTCCCGCCCCAAACTCCTCCCACCCCAAACCCAGGGGGGTCAGCACCCTCCAGGTCGTAGGAACCTCCTGGATTTTAACATCCCCCCCTCAACCTCTTGCATTTTTCTCCCCCCACGCTGGCCAGGCTTGGCGGGGAGGGGGGGGGGAGGAAGAGGAGGGGGGGCAGGCTGCCAACCGTCGCTGCGTGCCGAGGTGGCGCGGTAAATTGGCTGCCATTACACTCTGCTGCTTTAAACAAATTCCTAAATTCGACTTCGCCGAGCGCATCTGTAATCCTCCTCCAATTACACACGCAGGGCATGGCCCGCTAATTCACCACTTACATTAGGGGGAAAAAAAAAAAAAAAAGAAAATTTATATCTACATCGAGAGGGGGGGAGGGGATTTATCCCTTGGCAAAAACCTCGGAGCATCCCCCTGCCCTGGAAAAGGGGGGAAGGGCAGAGCCATCACCGGGAGCCGAAAATAGGTCTCGCCTCGGAGCAGGGTGGGAAGAAAAAAAACACCACAAAACTGAAAAAAAATAAAAAAAGAAGGAAATATCTAAGGATTGGTAAAGGAGGAAATAAGCTGCAGCAGGAGGCAGCTGCAGAGGTAGCGCTGGAAATGCCAAGCAACCAGGAATAAGCACCTCCAGCTATTTTGGGCACTGACAGGAGGCTGTGGCGGTGGCAGGGGGGGGCTGGTGGCACCCGCCGTGTCCCGGTGTCCCCAACAGCCCCCGTGGGTGATGCTGAGGTTCAGGGTTGGGTGCCAGGCTCCGTCCCTGGGTCCCCCAACACCTCGGGGGCAGTGGGGTGCAGCCTGATGGCCAAGGGGTGACCCTGTTGGGGATGCCTGGTCCCCCTGTCACCCCGTGTCACAGCTGGGGGACCCACGCACCCACAGGAGGGACAAGCTGGAGGTGGTGGCCAGATGTGCTCCCAGGTGGCCACTTCCAGCCACACTGGTGGCCCCACGGCCCCGTGTCACCCTCCTCCCCACTCATGGTCCTGCTCCTGTGCCACCCCGTGGTCCCGAGCATCACTCGGGGACAGGAGTCACCAGGGGACTTTGGGGACACGCTGGAGCCATCCTGAGGCCAGAGACCCCGGTGATGGGTCTGCACCCAAAAGTGCCACCTCCACAACCCCCCCCCAACCAGGCCAGGGGGCTGCTGTGGCACCCCCGGGGCCAGCACATTCCATTCCCCATCCCAGCTCATCCCTCTCTGCCTTCCAGTCCATCCCAGTTCCCACCCCAGCTCACCCCATTCCCCATCCCAGCTCATCCCTCTCCTCATCCCAGCTCATCCCTCTCTGCCTTCCAGTTCATCCCAGTCCCCACCCCAGCTCACCCCATTCCCCATCCCAGCTCATCCCTCTCCTCATCCCAGCTCATCCCTCTCCTCATCCCAGCTCATCCCTCTCTGCCTTCCAGTTCATCCCAGTTCCCATCCCAGCTCATCCCTCTCCTCATCCCAGCTCATCCCTCTCTGCCTTCCAGTTCATCCCAGTTCCCATCCCAGCTCATCCCTCTCCTCATCCCAGCTCATCCCTCTCTGCCTTCCAGTTCATCCCAGTTCCCATCCCAGCTCATCCCTCTCCTCATCCCAGCTCATCCCTCTCTGCCTTCCAGTTCATCCCAGTTCCCATCCCAGCTCATCCCTCTCCTCATCCCAGCTCATCCCTCTCTGCCTTCCAGTTCATCCCAGTTCCCATCCCAGCTCATCCCATTCCCCATCCCAGTTAATCCCTCTCCTCATCCCAGCTCATCCCTCTCTGCCTTCCAGTTCATCCCACTTCCCATCCCAGCTCACCCCATTCCCCATCCCAGCTCATCCCTCTCCTCATCCCAGCTCATCCCTCTCTGCCTTCCAGTTCATCCCACTTCCCATCCCAGCTCACCCCATTCCCCATCCCAGTTCATCCCACTCTCTGCAGCACGTCGCCAGCCTGACCCACCACGGGGACCAGCAAGGATGGCTCCTTCCCCTGAGTCCACATCCCCCCCAAGCACGGGCAGACACCCCATCGTGTCCCACATCCCCCCACCCAGGAAGAGCTCTGATGGGATCCCACAGCCGGATCCAGGTTGGGGGGGTCCTACCAGCCTCCCCCCACCCCCAGTTTGCAGCCTCCAGAGGAGGAGACACCCAGCTCCTCACTGGTCAGGCATCTCCATCCCCATCCATCCCCCCAACCCTGGAAGAGAGAGCAAAGCTGGGGGGGGATGGAGAAGGAGGGGGCCACCAGGATTTGGGAAGAGGGAAGGAGATGAACAGCCGACACGGAACAAGCATCAAGAAACAAGAGGGGGGGCTCTGTCTGCTCCTCAACGGGGGGTTTGAGGCTGCCCCCAGCGCCGGGGAAGAGCCGTAATCTCGTTGCCACCTCTGTTTGATGGCTTCATTTAGTCGGGAATAGCACCCTCATGGATTTTTAGAAAACAAGCAGAAATCGCCGGCGTCAGCTCCCGCCGGGTCCTAAAGCAGCCGGGAAGGGGCTGGGGATGTGCACGGGGAGGGCGGCCACAATCCCAGTCCAACCCCGCTTTTTCCAGTCCCCAAGAGGCTCTGGAAGAGGGGACAGAGGCATCAGTTTGGACCAAAAAGGACCTGCCTCCGTCCTCCTTAATCAGAGAGTCCAGCTCATCCCATGCCCCGTCCCAGCTCATCCCTCTCCCCATCCCAGCTCATCCCTCTCTGCCTTCCAGTTCATCCCAGTCCCCATCCCAGCTCACCCCGTTCCCCATCCTAGCTCATCCCTCTCCCCATCCCAGCTCATCCCTCTCTGCATTCCAGTTCATCCCCGTCCCCATCCCAGCTCACACTATCCCCCATCCCAGTTCATCCTGCTCTCCATCCCAGCTCATCCCTCTCCCCATCCCAGCTCATCCCTCTCCCCATCCCAGCTCATTCCATTCCCCATCCCAGTTCATCCCACTCCCCATCCCAGCTCATCCTTCTCTCCATCCCAGTTCATCCCTCTCTCCATCCCAGCTCATCCCTCTCAGCATCCCAGTTCATCCCAGTCCCTATCCCAGCTCACGCCATCCCCCATCCCAGTTCATCCCACTCCCCATCCCACCCACATCCCTCTCCCCATCCCACCCACATCCCTCTCCCCATCCCACCCACATCCCTCTCCGCATCCCAGTTCATCCTGCTCCCCATCCCAGCTCATCCCTCTCTGCATCCCAGTTCATCCCTCTCTCCATCCCAGTTCATCCCTCTCCCCATCCCAGTTCATCCTGCTCCCCATCCCAGCTCATTCCATTCCTGATCCCAGTTCATCCTGCTCCCCATCCCAACTCATCCCTCTCTGCATCCCAGCTCATCCTGCTCCCCATTCCAGCCACATCCCCCTCCCCATCCCAGCTCATCCCTCTCTGCATCCCAGCTCATACCATTCTCCATCCCAGTTCATCCCACTCCCCATCCCAGCTCATTCCATTCCTCACCCCAGTTCATCCCTCTACCCAACCCAGTTCATCCTGCTCCCCATCCCAGCTCATCTCTCTCTCCATCCCAGCTCATCCCTCTCAGCATCCCAGTTCATCCCAGTCCCCAGCCCAGCTCACCCCATTCCCCATCCCAGTTCACCCTGCTCTCCATCCCAGCTCATCCCACTCCCCAGCCCAGCCACATCCTGCTCCCCATCCCAGCTCATTCCATTCCCCATCCTAGCTAATCCCTCTCCCCATCCCAGTTCATCCCTCTCTCCATCCCAGTTCATCCCTCTCCCCATCCCAGTTCATCCCTCTCCCCATCCCAGTTCATCCTGCTCCCCATCCCAGCTCATCCCTCTCTGCATCCCAGCCCATCCCTCTCCCCATTCCAGCTCACTCCATTCCCCATCCCAGCTCATTCAATTCCCCATCCCAGTTCATCCTGCTCCCCATCCCAGCTCATCCCTCTCTGCATCCCAGCTCATCCCAATCCCCATCCCAGCCACATCCTGCTCCCCATCCCAACTCATCCCATGCCCCATCCCAGTTCATCCTATGCCTCATCCCAGCTCATCCCACTCCCCATCCCAGCTCATCCCATGCCCCATCCCAGCTCATCCCAGTCCCCATCCTAGCTAATCCCTC